CCCCAAAACCCCAAAACCCCAAAACCCCAAAACCCCAGATATTTTTGCAAAAATTGGATATTTTAATTCACACACATGGAAGACACAAAAGTGCAGATAGAGACACACCACACTTTCAACAACGGAATCAAGATCCCAAAGATCGGTCTTGGCAGTGCATACATAGACTCATCTGATGAGATCTACACAGCTGTTGCCGAATGTGGCTATAGACACATTGACACAGCTAGCTTTTACTTCAATGAGGAGATTATTGGTGAAGCACTCCAAAAGATCTACAAGGAAACTGATATCAAGCGTCAGGACCTCTTCATTACTTCGAAGATTTGGGGACATCAGAAGAAAGATGTCAGAGGTGCAGTCACTGAGTCGCTCGAGAAGCTTCAGACTGATTACCTGGATCTCTATTTGATCCACTGGCCAGTGGCTTATGAAGAAGCTGAGGACGGCACCAAAGTGCTGGCCAAGATCCCCAACCATGTGGTGTGGGCTGAGCTAGAGAAACTGGTTGATGAAGGAGTGATTAAGAGCATCGGAGTGTCAAACTTCAATGTACAGAGTTTACTAGATATGCTTGCTTACTGAAGAATTAAACCGGTTTGAAATCAGATTGAGCTCCATCCATATCTTGTTCAAGAAGAACTGGTCAAGTTTATGATAGATAACGAGATAGTCCCTATTGCATTCTGCCCATTGATTAGAGGAGGAAATGAAAACATGAAAGGACCCAAGGATGTCCTCGAGCTAGATCTAATTCAAGAGCTTGCCACAAAGTACGCCAAAACTCCTGGCCAGATCTTGTTGAACTGGGGGCTTCAGAGAGGGCACCTAATCATCCCGAAATCATCCAAGAAATCAAGACTTTTGGAAAACTTAGACTCAAACTCATTCGTCCTGGAGAAGGAGGATGTGGACAAACTAACCGCTCTCAATTGTGATTGGAGGATTTGCGACAGTAAAAATTGTGATTTCCTCTTAAACTACAATATTTTCAGATAATCAATACATGACTAGACCTTCGGGGTTTTGGGGTTTTGGGGTTTTGGGGTTTTGGGG